ATGTGAATTTTTAAAAGGAAATTTGCTTGCACCAATCTTCAGGTGGTGTCATCAAGCACTGCATGGGACAGGGCTCATTTTCCTCTGCCTTTAGGGATTGCTATGGTTTGAATGTGTCCCTCAAAATAAAACCCCAGTGCAACTGTGTTGAAGTAGAATCTTTAAGAAGTGATTAGGTCATGACGGCTCTGCCATGATGAATAGATTTAATGACATTAAGTGGCAGCAGTTTAATTATCTCAGGAGTGGGTTCCTGATAAAAGGATGAGTTTGGATGAGTTCAGCCGGGCTCAATGGCTCAGCCTGTAATCCCAGCACTTTGGGAGGCTGAGGCAAGTACTGCCTGAGCCCGTGGGTTCGAGACCAGCCTGGGCAACTTGATGAGACCTCGTCTCTACAAAACAAAACAAAAGACCAGCTGGGTGTGGTCGTTTTGGCTACTTGGAAGGCTAAGGCGGAAGGATCGCTGGAGCCCAGCAGGTCGACGCTGGGGTAGCCGTGAGCATGCCACTGCAATCCAGCCTGGGCGAAGGAGTGAAACTCCAACTCAAAAAAAAAAAGGATGAGTTCAGCCTCCTTCCTCTCTCACCATATGATTCCCTTCCACCATGTTATAACACAGTAAGAAGGTCCTCACCAGATGTGGCCACTCAATCTTGAATTCCCAACCTCCAGAATCATGAGCCAAATCAATATTTTCTTTATAAATTACTTGCTCTGTTGTATTGTTACAATAGCACAACACAAAGACAGGGATACTTTGGGGAAGCCATCTTTTAAAGTATGACTAGACCTCTGGGACCATGGGAGAATTTCAGGTTCTTAAGAAGGGGCAGGCCTGGCGCAGTGGCTCATGCCTATAATACCAGCACTTTTGGAGGCCAAGGTGAGAGGATTGCCTGAGCCCGCAGGTTTGAGACAAGCCTGGGCAACTTGGCGAAAACTCATCTCCACAATAAATAAAAAATTAGCCAGGAGTGGTGGTGCATGCCTGTGGTTCCAGCTACTTGGAAAGCTGAGGCTGATGGATTGCCTGAGCCCAGCAGGTCAAGGCTGCCGTGGCCATGAGCATGCCACCACTCCAGCCTGGGCAACAGAGTGAGACTCTGACTCAAAAATAAAAAGAAGGGGCAGCTACTGACAGGAAATTGGACACGCTTCTAAAAGAAGTCCTCCAAAAGCTTTGAACCTGCCCACTCTCAGACTCCTACATAGTTGCCTGCCTGGGACCATGTCTGCCTGTCCCCTGCACATGTAACCTCTGCTGAGTCTGGTGGGAGTGTGCTGTGTCACATCTGAAACTTGTTTGGAGTGGGATGCCCCACCAGCGTTTTTGGCATGGAAGGACCCTCCCCTGTGCAAGAAGTATATTTATGAGTGGATGCAACCACGAAAGACATGTCAACCAGCATGGGAAAGAAGTCTAAAGCATTTGGCCTCATTGCACAATAAGTTAATGACAATATTCATAAATGAGACCCTTTCTATCCATGAGATGAAGTGCCTGAGGTGTATGAGGATTACGGGTATTTATAAACCTGGCCATAGTAAAATTCTTCATAAAGACTTCTTGGCCTGCCAGGCTCAGTGGCTCAGCCCGTAATCCTGCGCCTTTGGGAGGCTGAGGTGAGTGGATTGCCTGAGCCCGCGGGTTCGAGCCCCGCCTGGGCAACTTGGTGAGCCCTCATCTCTACAATAAATCAAAATGAACCGGGCGTGGTAGCATGTGCCTGTAGTTCCAGCTACTTGAAGGTGAGGCTCAAGGATCGCCGGAGCCCAGCAGGTTGAGGCTGCGGTGGCCGGGAGCAGCCACTGCACTCCAGTTTGGGCAACAGAGTGAGACTCCAACTCAAAAAAAAAAGACTTCTTTGCCTTCTGTAATTACGGAAGTAGCCTCATTTTAGATGCCCCTCCAACCTCTGCCCCATGTTCAAAGCATACATAACTCTCCTTCACAACGTGTATCATGATGCAGACAAGAAATAACACGTGTGAGAGAAATGATGGACTGGATTTTAGCAGCTGAAACTGTTACAATGCTTTACCCTACAGCAGCTCATCAGTTCTGAAGGACAATCTGTTGGCACATATATGGGGTAACGTCCTGGGGTCAGCAATTTACAGCCACATCTGTATGGCCTATCAGCTTTGAATAGTTTTTGCATTTTTAAGAGGTGGGAAAAAGAAAAAATATATGCAACAAAGACCCTAAGTGACTTGCAAAGTCTAGCAGATTTACTCTCTGATCCTTTACAGAGAACAGTCTGCCTACCCCTGGGAAACGGCATCATGGATTTAAATAATCGTGACCACCTAAGATGGGCAACCCCCACAAGATGACAGAACCAAAGGGAACAAAAACACTTGCAATATCATACTTTACTTTAATGCTCCAGGTATTTTGAACATTCATAAAATTGCCATATTTCAGAAGTCATGTCCTCTTCAGTACAGAGTCTGTGTCCAGGATCAGAGATATATACACCACCAAATTTTCTCTACAGCACCCACATGGTACATGGAACCCATTCTGGCACCTTGTCTTTGCTAGTAGAGCCCCCTCACTACACCGGCAAGAGGGCTAGATAACCCCTTGCTTGACACAATCTCAGCTGTTAATGAAAAACTTCATGACTTTCTACGATGCTGGTACATTTCCAGCACTCCCAAATACTCCATGCCTGTGATAACCATCCTGAAAAGCCAGTGAAACCTCATGTCAGCTGGCAAACATGCCAGCACTGCTTCACTGTAACATCCAAACACCGAGGCACTTAAATGTTCTTAGTAAAATGGAGTTCATAATTACTGTAGGAGTTAAGGTTAAGCGAGGAAAGGGGGTTTCTCTCAATAATTAATAACCTTAATACATATTTAGCAGATTTATAATTTCATATATTTACATGTGTTGTCAGAGCCTCATAAACTATTTACTTAGATGAAAGCATATTTGAGTTTCCAAATGCTGTGATGAGAAGCAGAGAACCTTAGACAACACTTGCTTGTACCATGAATATATCTGGCCAGATGAAATACCTGTGTTTCCAAAAAGAACTTTTTAGAAGTCATAAGCCGTATGCACTTCTTTCAAGACAATAATGTGCTTGTCTTTCCTTCTCAAGCAGTGATTCAAGGCATATTGCTGTCTGAGGTTCTGATTTAACTGGCCAGGAATCTGGGGAGGGAAGTATGGGCACCAACATATTTTTTTTCTTTTAAAGCTTCACAAGTGATTCCAGCATGTAGTCAGTGTTGAGAACCTTGGTATGAATGGCTCTTGAGTCTTTCTACTCTCACTTGTCCTCACTAAAAGTCATTGAGGTAGTCTCCAAGGGGTCAAGCAGTGATCTCTTCCATGAGCTAAGAAACTAAGGCACAGAGAGGTTAACAGACTCCTCTGCTACTGTACAAATAACAGAACCAAGACTGGAATCAACATCTCCAAATAAACAATGCCTTCTCCCCCAGCAAGCGGAAGCTTTTACATGCACTACAAGTATGAAGCCTGACTGGGAGCCAGACATGACCATCTGTGCCAAGGACCTTATGGAAGGGGATGGAACAGTTTAAAACCAACTATTCCACCTAATCAGAAATAAATGCATAATGCTGGACATGGTGGCAAGCGCCTGTAGTCCTAGCTACTCGGGAGGTTGAGATGGGAGAATTGCTCAAGCCCAGGAGTTTAAGGCTGCAGTGAGCTATAATTCGCACCACTGCATTCCAGCCTGGATGACATAGCTAGAGCCTGTATCTAAAATAAAATAATAATAATAAAAATAAACAAAAATATCTTTAAAAGAAATGTGCATAATTACTTATTTGAAACCACATGAATAACGAAGTATAACTTTTTCTTTAAAAAAAAAATCCTACTTCCCTCATATATAAGGTATTGATTCAGGTTTCTTAGAAAACCTGTCAAGATTCACAGACTTCCTAACACCTGAATTCTTAGCTCTGTCACTGTAAGGGATAGACAACTCTCCCATGTCCTTGCAATTTGGCTCCAAAAGGTAATTACAAACCTGTGTTAGCATGTGACACCATTACAAAAACCTCCATGCTGTCTCTGTTACCAGCCCACCTAGACTTGCCAAGGACCCAGCTCCTTACACTTTCTAAATGGGTATGTCTCTTCTCATGATCTGGTCAGATCTCATTCCCTTCTCAGAAGTTCCCAAACACTAACCGTCAGCTGTGCTGGACCTCCGGGACTGACTATTAACAATGACTGTTTTATTTTGCCCTAGAGGCAGAATTTTTTCTTCTGTATTCTGGGTAACCCTCAGGACTTTTATTTTGTAATTCCAAATTCCAATGAGAGCCAACCCAGTTGGGCCCTTTTCCACTTAACCCCAACAAAACACCCTCATATCCTATTACCTACTGCTGCACCTATTAAGTATTTTCTATCATTATCCCTTTTTTCACTGTGAGCTCTTACATCTCATCATGTTTGAAGAAGTATGACTCTTCCTTCTCCTTTGTAAAAGTTTCCCCTGACTGCAGAAATGTGTTCTTGTACCAAGCAAAAATAAACAATGAAGCACACATATGCATGAAGAAAGAACACACCGTTTTCTGGGGAGGAGTGCATTCCTCCATGGGCCTGAACACAAATGCCATCCTGTGTTTAAGATGCAGCCTCCTGAAAAACCTGGAAGTATTAATCGATGCGGTAGTGGGAACCACATATAAACATATACGTTTGTGGAGACTCAAAGACACTGTGTGGAGCTGAAACCACTCTTTTCCCATTTAGGCAGGATATACACTCTTCTGATGCCTACAGGTGCAGGGAGACACAGACTCTTCCTGGAACAAAACCTGAGCTTCCAGCTCCTGCAGAAGGTGCTTGGAGCACAAAGAGAACAAAAAGGGGGAAAGTTACCTGTGTCTGGAGGCCACCTGGGAGAGGGTGGGAAGTGGAATTCTACTCTCTCCAAACCCAGAGAGATCTTTACAAAGGTTAAAAAAAAAAAAAAGAGAGAGTTAAGAAAAGGGATCTTTGCAAAACTGCATTTAGAATTCTGGTTAAAACAAAGTTAACTGAGAATCAACATGTTTTCAAAGATCCACCATATCCAACTTAGTTAAGTAAAGCAAGATATCATGGTTTTTTCTCTCTCATGCTTATTTGATGCTTACAGGTTCAGGGCAGACTTGCCACTTTGTTTCTAAAACATGCAGAGAGCAGACCTAGAGCAGCATATGCTGTTTGGGGGCCCAAGTCACACGAACCCTGACAGGTGATCGACCAAACGCCGTCAGAAAGGCGACGAGGAAAACCACTTTCACCGACAGGCCGGTGCACAGCACAAAACTAAGGACCGTTGGTGCATGCTTGTCCAGAGTTTAGTGGGGCAGAGTATCATGGAGAGGATAAGCGGGGAACACATGGGCAACCTCAAAACGCTCTGACATCCAATCCATGTCCCAGAACAAGTGGGCTGCTGCTGGGCATGGAGCTAAGGCACTAGGGCTGCAGCAGGTGGGAGCACTGACCAGAGGTCCCAGCGGCCTGCTGTCCCCAGGGAGGAGGGAGGGACCTCTGTTGACAAGGCTGCCTTCAGGTACCAAGGTTGTTTTAAAGGATGAGAACACAAAATAACCAAATCCCTGTTTTTTCCCCTTTAGAGGAATATTTTGCTTTCGCCTCAGAGACATCTGCTTCAGTTTTCAAAAGTCTCAGCAGCACTGTGGGGAACTCCACCTGGGAACTCCCTGAGCAACCCGCTCTTCCAGGATCACCTCCTCTGCTCACATGCCTTCTTCTGCCACGCTTTGCGAGTCACCTTTCTTTCTCCTGTTTCAGCTTGATAACAAGCAATCTGGTCATTTCACCTTCCCCTGGCCCAGGAACTCGTGCTCTTTCCAAGGCAGCTCTGAGCACCCCTCCATCACAGCTTGATGAAGGCGGCTGGCTGGGTCTGTGGCTGCTCCATGTCTGGGGGTGGGAAGACACTGGATATGGCTATGTCCACGATGCCCTGGCACAGTTCTGCATAAAGCTTCCTGAAATGCGTTTTCAAAAATATCATTGAGGATGTTCATCAAAGTGCAAGCAAAAAAATCAGTTTTGTTGTTTGTTAGTTTTTTTTAACCAACATCTGCCCTAGAAATTCCATCTCATGACAACATTTATAAAACTTGTGGCCCCCTGTAACCAAAAACTATCTGTACCCCTAAAGTTACTGTAATAAAATAAAACTAGTTGCCACTGTACATACAAATAGTGCAGAAAGCATTGCACAAAGATAAAGCAAATATTTACGGAAAGCTTATAGGTGAACTAAACAGACAACTGCTGTTCTGACTGACAGAGAAGACAGGCACTTTCAAGAGCATATAAGAGGCCATCTTGCCTGTCTGTGAGGGATACATGGGAGGCGGGCACTATCCAGTCAAAGGATCAAGTCAGGAAGACTCCCCAGGAGTGACAGCTAAGCTCACACCCAGAGAAGAAATACAAGTCAGAAATAAAAAGGATGATAAAGTAGAAAAGAAAGAGGAGAAGGGACACACACACACACAGAGAGAGAGAGAGAGAGAGAGAGAGAGAGAGAGAGAGAGAGATCCTTTGGATAGCAATTAGTGCAAGAAGGAAACTATTAAGGCACTGGTTAGAGAAGATAGGAGATAGGATTGCTCAGGGGAGGCTTCCTTGAAATGTCATTCTGGTAGAGAAGGAGCCAGCCATGGTAAGACTGCTGGGGATGGTGGTGGGGACTGCACACACAGGTATCAGCAAGCACAAAGGCCCCACAGTAGATAAGCGCAATCATGGGAAATGGTGGCTTAGGGTGAGGCTGGAGAGTCAGGCAAGGTAATGGCCTTGCAGGTGGAGGAGAGTCTGGTTTCTATTCCAGTTACGACAGAAAGTCTGGAGAACGGCATGGTCTGGCTTCCATTTTATCACTCTGGCTGCTCTGGGGAGGATGGAGTTTACCAGGCAAGAGCAAAAGTGGAGATCCCAGTGAGGAGGCTCTTGCAAAAGCTTCCACCATGATGGAAGGTGACCTATGCAAGGATGGCAGCAGTGAAAATGGAGGGCATAGACCTAAAGAGGCTGGACGGACAAGACCTGAGGGGAAGGGAAGGGAAGGGAAGGGAAGGGAAGGGAAGGGAAGGGAAGGGAAGGGGGAGGCAGGGCCTCATTTACATTCCGGTTTAGGCTCTGGGGGGAGGCGGATGGTGGCTGCTCACCCAGATGACAAGTCTGGGAGCAGGGTGAGGGGGAAGCTATCAGACATCCAGATATCCTGGCAGGAAAGGCAGGTGCAGACACTGGCCTGCAACTCTGGGCAGTGATGTAATCTGGTGGCTTAAAGATCATGAAGTTGCCAGGTGTAGTGGCTCACGCCTGTAATCCCAGCCCTTTGGGAGGCCAAGGTAGGATTGTCTATGCCCTGGAGTTTGAGACCAATCTGGGCAACACAGTGAGACCTTGTCTCTAAAAATAAAAACACAAGCCGAGCGTGGTGACATGTGCTTGTAGTCCCAGCTACTCGGGAGGCTGAGACAGAAGGCTCATCTGAGCCCAGGAGGTAAAGGCTGCAATAAGCCATGATCATGCCATTGCCCTCCAGCCTGGGTGACAAAGACCCTGACTCAAAAAATAAAAATCGTGAAGTTGAATGAGATCACATACAGACAGAGAACATAACAAAGAGAAAAGGTGACTGCCCAGGGCTGAGACCTTTGGCCTTTGATGAGGAAGAGGAAGCCCAGCTGGTCACCTCCCCAGGCAATCCCACCCAGCACTAAGTGTGCTTGAAGCCATAAGCTCTGCGAGGGGTAGTGAGCTGCCTTGAATGCTGCTGACAAGTCCAGGGAGGTGAGAACAGAAAGGGGCCGCTGCACTTGGCAGTATAGAACTGGTTGGGTACTTCAAAGAACAGTTCCAGGGCGATCAGATGGAACCCTGGAATGGACCAGATCAGGGACAGGAATAGAGAAAGAGGAGACAGCTTTGCAGATGCTGCTTGCCAGAAGCATGGCTGTGAAGGGAGCAGGAGAAGGTGTCATTATTGGATGTGCATCAAGAGAAGAGTTGTTTTTTTTTTAATAGTCGGAAAAATCTGCTGGGAATGGATATGCTGAAAAATCTGATGGGAACTACGCAGCAAAGATGGAGAAAGGTGACTACGTAAATGAGCAAATGAGCAGACAGAACTCCGGAAGCAGAGGGGTAAAGTACCATGGACAGACAAACCAGTGACAGGAAGGACAGCGAGAGAGACTGGGGTGTCAATTAGGTAAGGGAGGAGGCAAAGCCCTACCCTCTTCTGCCCTCAGTTTCCCTAACTCACAATGCCCCTTCAGATCTTAGTTCCAAACATCATTTCCCAATGGGAGTCTTTTGCTCAGGTTCAACATTCTTTGCTCTCTATTAAAGCATTTGTCCCAGTTTGTAACTGATAGTTGTTTGGTGCTCTATTTTGCCTACAGCATCTCTCCACTGAGCGTAGGGCCTGTCTCTCTCTTTGCTCACCACTGTGAGCCCACAGACTGAGGCCTGGCTGGTTAACAAGCACTTGTCAGCTGCAGGGACTAACAAATGTGATGGAATCATACCTGCCACAGCCATCAAGCAAGCAACAAAGGCCCAGTTGATATTATCCCTCGTAGGTGTAGGTCTTCCTCCTAAGCCTTCAAAAAATTACCTCAATTTCTCCAAGGTGAAGACATGAGAACCACAAAAGGGTCTTAATGTGATGAAAGTGGCTCTTTAGAAGACCAACAGCATAAGAAGATTAAGTCCAAATGGCTTTCCCTTACATGTAAGGCCTTCTTCAGAAAGTCCAACCTACCTTCTCACCTTCATTTCTCCATAACACTAACACTAGGCTTCTCCCCAAGAGTAACAGAAGCTCCTGAGAGCAGGTTCTGTTCCTCTGTGTATGTCCTAGATTTGCACAGAGTCCAGTGCAAGGCAAGGTCCGGTTGGACACTGCACCCCTTTCTGCAGGTTCTCCCCATTTCCTTTTGTGGCATCTGAACCCTCTTCCCTTGCATCCCAACTCCAGCTCCACTGTGCCTATGATGCCTTCTCAGACTCCTTCCTGCAAGAGGTGCACCTGAACTTCTGAGTCATCACTGTCTCTCTCAATCACAGAATTCTGCTCACTCAACTTGTCACACATAGGGGTCTCTCTGACACTTATTAGCTTTGTTTTAAACTCTCATGGCATCCGCCACCCACCTAAGCACGGGCCAACTGCTCAAAACATGTGGGGAAATGGGAAAGGAAATGACTCAGCAAAGCATCCCCACCAAACAGGGTCTTCCCAGGGGACTCCTATCACTGTGGCATCCTCCCTGATAGCAGTCAAAAGGTCTTCACTTGCACCCTTCAGGAACGGGTGCTTACTACCTTGCCAAGACAGACCATTTCAACTGCAGAACCAGCTTCCCACTTGTTAAAACACAGTGGTGGTCAGGCTTACTGAGCACAAGCAGGAGCGCCGTTGACCTCAATGAGCCAGACCTTCAGCTCCTCATCCACCATGAAGTCGAAGCCGAAGAGCTGGAAGCTCTGGTAAGGGAGGTGCTTGGTGCTGATGGCGGGCTCCACGCTCAGGAGGCAACTTCTGCAGGGTGGGAGGGGAAGAGCTCACTGAGAACAGGGTGGTGGTCAAGGGAGAAGGAACACATAAGGTGTGCTTGGAAGATTTTGCATCAAATGTGTATAATAATCAGCTTTGGCTTAATTCTCTCCTTTCAGTGTATTACCAAAAGGTTATTTAAGAGAATGCGACTTATCAAGCAACTTGTTTGAAAACCCTGCAGCCACTCATGTTCTCCCTGGCAAAGGCTGCTTTCCTGGCCTCAAGAGGCAGCACAGTGCTGGGTCACTGTGGCCTCTATACATGCAGATTTCTCTAATAGGGGGACAGTTGTCATGCTTGTTTATAATAAATAAAACAATTACATGTACACTGTCGTGTAAAAAAAATGAACTACCATTTGGTGGAGGTCAAAATTTGCAAAAATAATGTTAGCCTCACAAAGAGTAGCAATGGACACTGGAGACTGGGGGGTGTGGGAGGAAGGGGTTGGAGAGATGAAAAATCACCTATCAGGTACAGCGTGCACAGGTGGGAGTGGTGGGAACATTTAAATTCCAGATTTCTTTGCCACTGTACAACGCAACTATATAACCAAAAACTATTTGAACCTCCTAAAGCTATTGAAATAATTAATTTATTTCACTAGCTTCAGTTCTAATGCCAAATTATTACCGATTAAATGATTTAAGAAGAGCTATACATGTTGAAACTAAATATTTAAATACAGAGTAGAATTACTATTAGCATTACTATTGTTGGAATTGTACAATGAGATAACTACAGAAGGAACTTGGTGTAACTCTTGGTACCTAAGAAGGACTTAATAAATGTTACTCTTATGGACAAGTATATTTCATTATTTATGTAACATATATTATTGAATAAAAAATACTTGTTCTCTAGTTCAACTATCCCAGAAAAACTATGTCATTTATGTTTTATGAAGATCTTCCCCCAACTGAATGTTGAGGGAAAAATTTATCTTAGTAAATAAAGTGTGTTGTGATGGCTCTAGGATTACCAGAGATAACTGTCTTTCTACATACTGTATCTTTAGAAGGAAAAAGATGCGGGGAACAGGCTTTCATGTATGTCTATGGGAGATTTTTTTTTTTTGAATTGAAGTCTCACTCTGTCACCCAGGTTGGAGGGCAGTGGCCGCTCCCAGCCACCGCAGCCTCGACCTGCTGGGCTCCGGCGATCCTTCAGCCTCAGCCTTACATGTAGGTGGGACTACAGGTGTGCGCTACCACGCCTGGCTAATTTTTTTTTTTTTTTTATTGTTGAGATCAGGTCTCGCCAAGTTGCTCAGGCAGGTCTCGAACCCGCGGGCTCAGGCAATCCACTCACCTCGGCCTCCCAAAGCACGGGATTACAGGCTGAGCCACCGAGCCTGGCCCCTATGGGAGATTTTGACTCATGGTTTTAAAAAAGAACTGAGGCCTCTGTGAACTTGGAGCCAGGTTCTTGTGCCCTCAGTTCTCCTTCCCTTTCTGTCTGCTGTAAACTTCAATCTCCTTTTCTTTTATTTCTCAAAAAAGAAAATCATTTTAGAGGTATATTTATTTAAAAACAATTGTGGGCAGGTTTACCATTTAAGAACTAATTATAATAAAATTTCTTCTCTTATTCATCTCTAACCTATATCAGCAAACCACACATCAAATTTAAAAAAAAACAAAAACCTTATATTTTCTTTTCATTAAAATACTCTTGCTGGGCATGATGGCTCACACCTCTAATCCTAGCATTTGGGGAGGATTGCTTGAGTCTAGGAGTTTAAGACCAGCCTAGGCAACATAGTGAGACCTCATCTTTTCAAAAAATAGAAAAATTCATCAGGCATAGTGGTACACACCTGTAGCCCCAACTACGTGGGAGGCTGAGGATAGCCTGAGTCCAGGAGGTCGAGGCTGTGGTGAGCCATGTTCATGCCACTGCACTCCAGTCTTTGGCAACAGAGTGAGACTCAGACTCAAAAAACAAAAAACAAAACAAAACTCAACTCTTTAAAATATCATAATTAAGAAAAGTTTGAAAGTTTAATAGATGTTCATGGCAAGAAAAAAAAGAGAGAAATATTAAAGGCTAAAAAGTGAAAAAAAGCATTACACTCCAACACACAAAGAAAAAACTGAGAACAAGGACCAAATCAAAACTAAACTTTTTTTTTACCTGCTGAAAGCTCAAGATTAATAATTCACTTTAAAGGATTTTTTCCATCATCAGAGAGTATACCATGCATCTATTTTTGGCTGGAGTGGGAAGTTAGGGGGAGGCTAGCTGGAAAGAAAAGAAAATCTGGGAGCTGTGAAGAGCATCTACACCACCACAGTAGTAACACTCTCTGAACAACACAGAACGGGGGTGCAGTGGGGGATGGGGCACAGTTAATTTCCTATAAATCTTTTGTCCAAAATGGGAATTCTTATTCCAGTATGTTTGGTTTATCTGGTGCCAGAATTCTGACTACCTATAATCCCTGAAAAAATACGAGTCCAATCCCTGTACCTATTCTGCTAGGCTCTATGTAGGAATAAAGTTAGGAAAAACCCTCAGTCATTGTGACAGGGTGGCAATGACACAGTGGACAAATAGACTAATGGGACAAAATAGAAATTTCAGGGACAGACCCTCACATAAATGGTGACCTGGTTTATAAAAAGGTGGGGAAAGGACAGTATTATACACAAATGACCATGGGTCAGTGGGATAGCCTTGTGGAAAAACGTGAAGTTTGACATATAACAATTCTAGATAAATGTCAGGTCTAAAACATAAAAGACAAATCACAGATGTCTATCAATTATAGAAAGGATAAACTGAAATATTGGCACATTGCAATATTACACCACAAAAAACTACTGCTGTGGGCAACAATATGGATAAATGCCACAGATACAACATTGAAAAAAGTTGAACACAAAACAGGAAATACAGTATAATTACATTTACATAAGGCTCAAGAAAAAGCAAAAGGAATCCATGGTGATAAAAGTTGGAAGAGTGGCTGTCTTTGGCAGAGAATACAGATTTTAAGGGAGTTCAAGAGAGTCTTCTGGGGTGGTATACATATTTTATATCTTGATTCATATTATAGTTAGGTGAATATATGCATAACTTAAAACACACTAAATGGTATACATTATGCATATTATACCTTATTAAAAATCTCTACTGGATTTAGTAACTATAATAAATGAAAACTACAACAAAAAACTGTTTCCAGGCATATTAAGAAATAGGACCAAGAGAAAAACCAGAGATTAGAAACAGACCTAAAAGTCAAGTGTTGGTAAACCCTGTCTACAAAGGGCCAGACAGTAAATGTTTTAGGATTTATAGGATTTCAAGACCAGTCTGGGCAACATCTCTGTTGCATATTCTTTCTTTATGTTCTTTAAGAAATCTAAAAACCATTCTCAGCTCACAGACCTTACAAAAACAGGCTGCAGGCCAGATCTAGTCCATCAGGCATAATTTGCTGACCTCTGCTTTGGGTAATCCAGATTTTGGAATTATAAGATAAGAATGTTAAAGAATTGCCATTATGTATAAGAAAATATGAGACAACTGGAAAACTTAATAAGAGGACTACTGTAATCCAAACAAAAAAAAAAGAGAAAATTTTAGAACTAAAAAAGAACAATAATGAAAATCAAGAACTCAATAGATGGGTTTAATAGCAGCTTTTAAAAGCTTTTAAAATTGTAAACTTTTTAAGAGGTTTGTTTGTTTGTTTGTTTAGCTGGAATCTCATTCTGTCAGCCAGGCTAGAGTGCAGTGGCACACTCATGGCTACCACAGCCTCGAGCTGCTGGGTTCAGGTGATCCTTCTGCCTCAGCCTTCCAAGTAGCTGGAACTACAGGC